AAGATATGCAGCCAACTACTTAAGCATATGAAGGGGCAAAACACAATCTCATACCCTCCAACATTCTTCAAATGAAAATCGGCAGTGCTTTTCTTCTAGAAAAAAAAGGCACAGGTGGGATTGCCACACATCCAGGAATTCTCGGACATGTCCTCTCTTTCTGTGTCCAGATGTTTACCTTTTGAAACATGTCAACCCTATTACCCTTGAGTATCCTTTGGAAAAAAGCACTGAAAATAGGGACATTTCTTTCTCCCCACAACTGACCCAAAATGGCTGCCATGCTCTTGTAAGAAAAAAATGGGAATACGGTGTCCAGGAAGATGAAGTTCCAGATTTTGTTGTCACAGTGTTGGAGGGTATGTTGTCACAATGTTGGAGGGACCCACTCATTTCCCCCAACTGGTTGGGCCTAGGAGCAACCTCTGGAATGCCTCAACGAACAGTGTGGGGAATTTAATGATGGCTTCTGGTTTCACAGCACTCTGCTGATGATGTAGGAGAAGGGCCGTCACAGGTATCTTTGCTGAGGGCCCCTGCAAACTTGGAGCTGCCCCTGCAATGGGACACATTGCAGTCGTGTGAAAACAGGGAGCTCTGATTCCTATGGCTGCCTAGGATGGAGATGCAGGTCACATCTCCACTACATATGTGGATGAGTCCATAGTGCCATATACAAGGTGTGACCAGAAAGTTCGGAGAATGTTCACAGAAATCAGACAGTGAGAAATCTTTGAACATACAATCGGCATCAGAAACCCACGAAATGCTCACAATTACGTATGGAGATGACGCTGTAACTCGAAAGACAGTGTATGAGTGGTTAGGCGTTTCCGTGAAGGGCGGCAAACCATCAAAGATGACCCTTGGTCTGGCAAACCGTCAACAAGCAGAAAGGCAGCAAATGTCAACAGAGTTCGTGAGTTACTGATGCGGGATCGGCGTTTGTCCGTCCGAATGATGGCGGAAGAATTGCATATTCTGTGTGAAATTGTTACCGAGTTTACTGAGTTGTCCCACCCTCCATATTCTCCCGATCTGGCCCCACTGGATTTCTTTCTTTTTCCAAAACTGAAATCTGCACTGAAAGGGCACAGATTTCCCAACATTTCACATGTAGAAGCTGCTGTGATGAGGGAACTGGAAGCAGTACGAAAAGAGGACTTCTCCAGAAGTTTCCAACAGTTGTACGAACGTTGTCAATGGTGCATTGTATCAGAGGGGGCCTACTTTGAAGGCCTATAAGGCATGTATGTTCGAATATTTCTCACTGACCAATTTCTGTAACCATTCACCTAACTTTCCGGTCACACCTTTTACATTGTGAACCAATTCTTATTCATCCCAATGTAGGTGAAACTGCTTTAGTGAAATGAAGCTGCTGAAAACTTTTCTATATCAAAAAGCGGTTCATAATTTGGGTCTTTGTTGAGGGAGGTGAGGATGAACTGTGACTCCTGATGTGCGAACAGAAATAGAGGTGAATAGGTCTTCTGCATATGACTTATGAACAACCTGCTGCAGAATAAACAGAGACTGAAACTTAAGCATGCCTTCGTATTCTCCACTTGCAGAGTTAAATAATTTTCAAACCCTGGAACTCAGCTGCATGAAAGGCCAAAAACAACATGCTAGAGTTTGAAAGTTTTCTATTTGAAACAAGCCAAATCCACACCCTTCCAAGGTATTTGTGTTCCAAAGAAAGTCTCATTTTCAGATCAGATCTTGACTTATCTTAGTGATTAAAACCTATAACTTTTTATAGTGCAGTTTTCTTTTTCTCACCTATTTAAACATTCAACAGTACATTTTTGGCTCTGTTGCATGGATTCTCCAAAGGTACCTAATTTTAAAGGCAAGGTTAGTAATTAGTTGGTAGATCTGTGTCTGAATAAATTATTTTGTGAAACTGGAAAACTTCTAGAAGCCGAATTGTTTTCTAAAAATATAATAAATGCAACAGACTTTTCTTTTGTCTTGATTGTCCGCCAGAAGTTGAAAAGCACACACTGACTTTGCCAAATAGATGTATTTTTAAAGAAATATTGTCTTATGCTTCTCAGACTGATGGTTATGAACTGATGGGTGGGGGATAAGACCCTAGCAAGGGCCTAGCTTTTTTTAAAAAAGTTAATCTTTTTTAGTGGAGAACATTCTTCTGAACTATATACCTATTACCCTATTGTATATAAGTTAACAATGGGGCAATGGAAATGGATTCCACTTGCTTTAATGGTAGCCAAGAGACTGATATTGATTAACTGGAAGAATAAACAAATGATACTCTCTAATAAATGAATCAACAATATGACAACACACACAACTTATGAAGAGGCTGCTTACAGATGTAGACTTTGCTTGGATATATATGACAATATTTGGAATGAGTTTATACAAAATGTGTAAGCTATTAATATTTACATATCATAATAATATCAACTTTACAAAAGAATGTATGGGTTAGAATATTTTATGTATATATTCATATATTTTTCTATCCACTTCAGTGCCTTTTTGGTTTCTTCTTCTTCTTTTCTTTGTATCACTTTAATTTGTTTATAATTGAAAACTTTTCAATGAAGTATCAATGCCAAAAAGTAAAATATTTCATTTGGTACTTTGTGCAAAATGGAGAAAACACACTGTCAACTTGTTTTGTAAAATGTGTGCAGATCTAAGAATCAATCAATCAATCAGTCAGTCAGTCATTATATTTGTATGCTGCCTTTCCAAAGTTAAAATCACGCTCAAGGCAGCTTATAACATATAAAAATTACATAATTGTAAACATAACAAAAGTAGTCATAAACAATTTTTAAAAAACAAAAATCATAAGATCCAAAATTAAGACCCAAAAAAGTTGCATCAATGACAGCAACAACTCCCTACAACAACAACAACCTGCCAAAGATTCTGTTCAGCAGCCTCAGCTTTTGTAGCTGGAGTCAGTCCGGGTATCACCCTCCCAGACCAGGTAAAAAGAGCTGCAAGGCAGGGAACAGGTCTTCCAGGACTCACAGCCAATATGGACTGGCCTCTTCAGCAGCCTGGGCTTTTGAAGGAAGCCAGAACTCCCTGTGCCCCAAGTAAAAGTATAACCAGCTAAAATGTCACACACTGCAACATTTCAAGTTACCTAGGATTCCTATTGATTGGTGTCCTTCCCAAACTGCAAACCTTCAAGGGGTGCGCAGCTCCATCAAGAACTGGTTGGAACCCATCATCTATGGCACTGCAGTTCCAAGTCAATCGCTCTTCCCAGGGAACTCTGGGAATTGTAGGTTTGTGAGGGGAATGGGAGGTCTCAAGAATTCTCAGCACCCTTAACAAACTACACTTCCCAGAATTCTTTGGGAGAAGCCATGATTGTTTAAAGCAGTATGATACTGCTTTAAATATATAGTGCAGATTGGTCCCAAGTCACTTTCTATCAACCTAACTTAAAGTGGGATAAATTCCATGTACTGAAACCTTGAGCTTTCTAATGGGTGGGTAAAAAAACTGGCTATATAAAAAATAAGATGTGGTAGCATTCCTGATCTGAATGTATGTCTTTCGTGCTATATTCTTCCTCCTCCTCCTCCTGTTACTATAGGTACAATCCAACTGTTTTCTGGCCACCAAAGAAACTGCTGGTGGTTTGTGATAGTTTCCATTCCTTACATACAGGGCTGCAATCCACACACATATTTAAAATGTTCTGAAAATTCTTTTTTTAAAAAGTGTTTGTTTGTTTTTAAAATTGAATTTTCCATAAGGCTCATTATCACCATCTAGTGTCACAATGTATATTCCACTTAAAGCACACAATGTTTTATTTGCAGCTCTATAGCTGAGCCTGGGGTTACCCAAGGCAGTGGAAAATTTATTCAGCTCCCAGTAGAAATTATGTACATTACTCCATTCGCAGAGCTGGTCAGGTGTGTTCCAAGGTCTCTGTGGCCTGAGAACATGTAATCTGAAATCATATAATCCAGGTAGACAAAGGTGAAGGGAGATCCCATGCTTAGACATGAGGCATACTTAGACTAGCCATATTGAGAAACTAACAAACCCCACCCAGAACTTCAGGTGCCTCATCATTAAAATGTTTAAATAAAGATAGGCTGTCCCTTAACTGCTCTTATCTATGTGCAATCACTAGGATTAGCAGAAGCCTCGCTGCAGTTGCTTGTTTTAAGATGATTCTTCTGCACGCAGCCAGACAGGTTTATGATAATCCTTTAAAACCTGAGAATCTTTTAGCTTAGTTGAGGGCTATTATGTTTTAGCAGGTAGCAGTTCGAAAGCACGTCAAAGTGCAAGTAGATAAATAGGTACCGCTCTGGCGGGAAGGTAAACGGCGTTTCCATGTGCTGCTCTGGTTTTCCAGAAGCGGCTTAGTCATGCTGGCCACATGACCTGGAAGCTGTACGCCAGCTCCCTCAGCCAATAAAGCGAGATGAGCGCCGCAACGCCAGAGTCGTCCATGACTGGACCTAACGGTCAGGGGTCCCTTTACCTTTAAACTTTCAATACATGGTGCTTTTTAAAATTTATTTTTTAAAGTAAGCTTCAGACCTGCTCATCTCAAAGGTGTTTTGGTCAAGCAACACACACACACAAACACACACACACACACACAGGCAAATCAGAAACAAATTCCTTCACTTCATGGGGTTATTAAAAGCCTCCCACTTTTCCCTGTTAAAGTCAGTGACCCAAAAGCCAGCAGATATTGACTTGTTTTTGTAAGATTCCAAATAAGCAGGTATGAGTGTTCCAGACTTCAAATCCTACGTCTCAGGTGATTAGTATTTCCTAATACTAACAGTTTGCAGTGTTCTCCCAGAATGAATGTGATTTTCCTCTGATTGTACTCACACAGTTGGCCTGAATACTCTTGCCAGGCGGTGGAGGCGAATCTTCCTGTTAAGCAGGTACAATGGTTAATGTAAGTTAGAATCACAACTCGACCCATAAAGCATGAGTTGAGAAGAGAAAAGGAAGTGTGTTGTGTTGGCTAGAGTAAAGGATAGCTCAGATGGCAAAGCGTGAAACCCTTAACCTCAGAGTCGTGGGTTCGAGTCTCACTTTGGGCAAAAGAATCCTGCATTGCGGAGGGTTGGGCTAGATGACTTTCCTGGTCCCTTCCAAATCTACAATTCAATGACTTCTGCTATCGTATGTCCCCTGCACAACTGTTTGAAATCTCAAGGCCAGAGGCAGACCATGGGCTCTCAAATTTCAGTGGCGCCTTCTGCAATTCTAAAATCTGGCGCCTCCTGCCTCTCGCACTCCCTTCCACGGGGTTTTTGTGGTGCTCCCGGCAGCTGAACACAGAGCAAGAGGCCCTTCAGCACTTTTTTGTTTTGTTTTAGAGTTTGGATTTGATATCCCGCTTTATCACTACCCTAAGGAGTCTCAAAGCAGCTAACAATCTACTTTCTCTTCCTCCCCCACAACAAACACTCTGTGAGGTGAGTGGGGCTGAGAGACTTCAGAGAAGTGTGACTGGCCCAAGGTCACCCAGCAGCTGCATGTGGAGGAGCGGGGACGCGAACCCAGTTCCCCAGATTACGAGACTACCGCTCTTAACCACTACATCACACTGGCTCCCATTGGCTGGCAGTGAATGTCAGTCTCCCTACTCCCAGCTCTGTGGTCCACGTGGAGAGTCAGGGCTTTCCTGTCTTTGTGGAGACAAATACCGCAAATGGTCTTGGACCACAAGATTAACAATTACAAGTGGGGCCTGCACAGAAATGTTGCCATGTCACGTGCTCCTGCTCAGGGATTGAGCTCAGCAGCCAAGCCCTCTTTCCCCCAGAATAGTCTCTCCTGTTTCACTTCACCCTTGTTTCCCACTCCTACCAGATGTTCAGTGTTCGCTGTGGTTACTGAGAATGCTCAGTCAAAGCCTGTTGACCCCTTACCATTTGTGTACGTGGGGCGTGCCATTTTGGCCGCATAAGGTTCAGCACTTGGGAAATCTGCTTGCTGTTGGAATATATCAGGGATGGGGAATCTGTGGGCCTCTAGATCCTCATCTCAGTGGCACAATGGGTCAGCACATCTTGCTTGGTGGTTCGAGTCCACCCAGAGATGGCTGCGGGCAGGATTCCAACTCTACAATTCTACGATTCTTTGATTTTATGACGACAACTTCCATTGGCGCCAATCAACAAATGGTCAGGGATTGCTGAACAACATCACTGTACAAGCCACAAGTTCCCTTTCCCTGGTGCATACAGTAGAAAAGAAAGAAGGTGTTCATGCATTTAAGGACTGGGTCAAACAATTTACATTTCAAACACTGCATGTATTTAATCTCTGAGATGGAACTACTTATTGAAGGCCAACTATCATGCCTAAGGAAGACTGGAGGTTGCACAGGAAAAGAAAGGACAAAAAGTTAATTACCTCAAATGCGCATCGAGTTGGGGCTGACACGCCTGGAATGGCTAGATTTCCTACCTGTTGTTAGGTGCTGGATTATGGTATACAGTGGTACCTCAGAACTCGAATGGCTCTGTTCTTTAACGTTTCGGCTCCCGAACTCCAAGAACCCGAAAGTGCTCTGGGTTTTGAACAGAACATGAACATCCACCGTGGCTTCCGCTGTGCAAAATCCTAGCTGTCAGCCAGTCGGAAGCTGCACCTCAGAACATTTCAGAAGTCGAACGGTCTTCTGGAATGGATTACGTTCCAGTTCTGAGGTACCACCTGTACTTGTTTCTCAGGCCTATTGGAACGACTGAGAGATTTCAGTAAGACCTAGACTGCTTCTGGATTATTGACTTTTTCCTTCTTTTGATGGTCTGATGTTTTGTCTTTTAAAATTTATTAATTTATTAAAAACACATTTATTCAAAAGTTGCACTTCAGCTTCGTCCACTGCCATAACACCACAGAAAGATCACTCCAGTCCTCAGTCCTCCGTCACTGTCATGTTGGCTCACCAAATATACTCAATACGAGACCACCTACTGATATGGTTTACTAGACATTTTCAACCATTATATCCCCCCCACAGACACCTCTGAGATGATGATGGCATTGAAATGCCCTGTTCTTCTTTAATAAAGTAGAAAAAGGAGACCAAATTGTCCCAAAGATATCTTTTTTTGGAGATGCCTTTGATTATTCACCAATTGTATGTGAGGCGTGTCTTTTTTTGATACTTGTTTTGATATTGTTGGTTTTATTTCAATAGTTTGTACACACACACACATACACACACAAATAATAATAATAAATATTTGTATATTTATTATTGTATAGTTTGTATACCGCTCAATCACTGTAGTCTCTATGTGGTTCTATGGTTCTTGTACTGATTCATGTATTTCAGTAGATTGATATGTCCCAGGGGACTTCTGAGTTGAAAGGTGGAGCATAAATTTAATAAATGATGATATTTATTATACATGTGGCAAAGAGTGCCACATGTATCATAAATGTGAAGTCCCACAGGGTGGAATCCAATGGCATTCATCTGCCCACAAAATAGATACCATTGGCTCAAGGGATTCCCTGTGCAACCCCCAAATTTGCCGCAGAGGATTTGGAGCCAGTTATGGGAGTTGGGGAGCTGCAGGTAAGGGGGGGAGGGGAGAAATTGCACCATGTTAGCAGATGTTTCCCCACTGCTTTTGATGAGGCTTTGTTGTTGTTTAGTCCTTTAGTCGTGTCCAACTCTTCGTGACCCCATGGACCAGAGCACGCCAGGCACTCCTGTCTTCCACTGCCTCCCACAGTTTGGTCAAACTCATGTTTGTAGCTTCGAGAACACTGTCCAACCATCTCGTCCTCTGTCGTCCCCTTCTCCTTGTGCCCTCCATCTTTCCCAACATCAGGGTCTTTTCCAGGGAGTCTTCTCTTCTCATGAGGTGGCCAAAGTATTGGAGCCTCAGCTTTAGGATCTGTCCTTCTAGTGAGCACTCAGGGCTGATTTCCTTAAGAATGGATAGGTTTGATCTTCTTGCAGTCCATGGGACTCTCTAGAGTCTCCTCCAGCAACATAATTCAAAAGCATCAATTCTTCGGTGATCAGCCTTCTTTATGGTCCAGCTCTCACTTCCATACATCACTACTGGGAAAACCATGGCTTTAACTTTAATGAGGCTTACTCCCTAGTAAATGTGTTTAGGACTACAGGCTGAATTCTTGAATGATCTTCTATGTCATAATTTCCTGGTATGTGGAAAGCTAGTAAGTCAGGGGAAAGGGTTTGTGGTTTGGCCTTCTCGTTCGTATTTATGTATAGGTTTTTCTTTTTTTAAAGAAACAGATTCCACCCTCCTGAAATGTGTGATTTCCATTCTGAAGTCAATAAGGCCCACGAGGGCGTTATCACATATTTTCTCTCCTGAATGTGTGCATTGGCTTTATGAGGAGTTTTGTGGCATTTCCTTCTGGCCCATAATAAGCAAACTCCACCAGTCACCATACTGCTTGGCTGTTTCCCTTGACAACTCCCAGCTGAATTATGAAAAAGTATGTACTTATACCATTAGAAGGGGGGGGTGGAGAATTCTTTACCTCCAAATCAACAGATAATAGAAAGTGTTTTATTGTCAATCAGATGTAGAATTCAGCAAAAGTTCATTTCCACACTTTGTGTTGAAGTTAAAATTAATTTCCTTCACCTTTATATATAGATATATTTTTGTAAAAAAATGGTCAAAAGTTATATTATAAAAGAGAAGAAAGAAAGAAAGAAATCACAGCAATAAATTAAGATGACAAAGAGAGAGAGAGAGAGAGAGAGAGAGAGAGAGGAGGAAAACCACCCAGGAGAGGAAAACAAAATCTAGGAGCAACCGCAGAGAGACTAAAGCAGGTTTAAAATAGATCGTATTTTTAAAAGGTGCTTTCAAAATGCTTAAAACAAATAGCAGCATAGAAGAATCATAAATACAAGTGCACATGTGTCCCTCCTAAAGTTCCCCTTTCATCAACCAAAACAGTAGTACTCGTCAGACTCAATCTTGGTATGTTTATGGAGGGACTGTGAGTCGTCTATAAGAGAAGAGTCACTGAACTGGTCCATGTCTGAAGGAGTACGTTGGCCAGGGACATCGTCCGCCAAAGTGTCCAGGTAGCTCCCCACGGAGATTCCATCCAGCCCATCACTGCCGTCTTGCAAACTGTTGTAGCTGCCTCTCAGTGATGTCTCCTGACTCTCTAGCAAGCTGCAGAGACTGCCACTCAAACTGCTGCCCCTGCTGGTGATTGTTCCTTTTTCTTCAATCAACCACTTGATTGATTCGATGCTTTCATTGATGATCAGTAGCTGCCGCATTAGTTTGACATCTGTGGCTCGGAGATCAACCTGCGTGCAGAAGAACAACTCATCAGCACACTGGATTCAGATCAATCTACTCATCTACGGAAAACTCTGAGCTGTAAAAACTCAGCACAGGCTTTTCTTAGTAATGCATTAACGTTCAACCCATTGGTTCGAGTCCTCCCTTCCAGAGCAGGAAAAAACAAGCTTGCTCCATCTTACATGTGACAGCCCTTGAGATATGGCTATCTCCTCTCAGTCTCCTCTTTACCAGGCTAAACATCCCCAACTCCCTCAACCGTTCCTCATAAGTGGGAATATAACTAGGGTTGTTGAGCTTTTTGGAGGAAACCTCCCCCCCCCAAATAGTAACTTTAAGCTTTTGGAGCTTCCCCACCCCCCATCGCGTTGTCATACATCCGAGTTTTCCCTGACATCTGGCCAATTTGGCAACATTCCCCCCTGATGCCATTTGCACACCTGAAAACCAGGACACGTCAGGAATTTTCCTGACGTACGGCAAGCCTAAATATAACTTTCTGTGAACAGGACACTAGACTTCTGTTGATGCAGCCTAGAACAGCATTAGATTTTTTGCTGCTGCTGCTGCTGCTGCTGCTGCTGCTACATCACACTGTTGACTCATTTTGAGTAAGAACACTAATCTTAAAATGAGTATTTAAGAATAAAAGATATGCACTAGATATGCTGTGATTCAGATACATGCACAAACACACGCAAACAATATTTTGTGGCATAGTATAATGGTACACAATACATGTTGATAGTCAAAACGATTTCAGTCAACAAGGTTTTTATATAAAAAATGAATACAAATTATTGTGTGATGTAGTCTTTTATACTATTCTCTTAAGCCTTCTGTTTTTCTATATATGAATATAACATCTGCATTGTTCACTCACAATGAACTGGAGGAGGAAAAAAACATTCCAGACTCTGAGGAAGTGAGCTCTTTATCTTGCTTTGGCAAGCCTCCTCCTTTTTTTCCTTTTTCATATAATTCTTTCCATAGATTCTTTTAAAATCTCAAGTCTGTCAAAATATCCTGAATTACACACTGCCTTCTTTTAAAAATTATTGTTCTGGTGGTTTGGATCAAAGGTTCCTGACTGCTGGCCAAACAACTGGTGCATTATTGCTGTTCCTCCACAATTCCCACATCTGTTGCGCTCCTTCCTCCCCTTATATTCCTCTCACGTTTCATGAACCTTCCATGACTGTTCCTCCCTCATTTTCCCTGCCCCACCTTTGTCCTCTGCATCACCAACCCGCCTTTCTAAGGAACCTAGTTCCACCCTACAACTTCCTTCATTCGCCCTGCAAGTCCTTCCTGGATCTAGTCAGTCAGAAAAGCAGGGGTGAAGATTGAACCTCATGCTTGGGGACCCATTGTGGTCCCTTCCAGGTCTTTCCATCTGACCTCTGGACACTTGGTTGGCCAAGCACCTTCTCCAACCACACCTTCTACAGGTCACACCCCAAAATGGACTTGCATGGATGGAATGTGCTCGCCTAGTGGGAAGACAGGGAGGGGTATATAGAAACCAGCCTACTGCAGAAAGGTGACATTTCTATGCAGTTTTGCCCATGTTTGCCTCTGGGTCCGGCCACTGTTGGTACATGGCCCACAAAAAAATTGCACAGCTGGGAACACAGTCCTCAGGCTGAAAAACGTTCCCCATCCCTGTAGGTACTGTGACTGGTAAGGTAAAGGAAAAGGACCCCTGGATGGTGAAGTCCAGTCAAAGATGACTATGGGGTTGTGGCAGTCATCTCACTTTCAGGCCAAGGGAGCCAGTGTTTGTCTGCAGACAGCTTTCCAGGTCATGTGGCCAGCATGACTAAACCACTTCTGGCTCAACGTTACACCGTGATGGAAACCAGAGAGCACAGAAACACCATTTACCTTCCCGCAGCCGTGGTACCGATTTATCTACTTGCACTGGCATGCTTTCAAACCACTAGGTTGGCAGGAGTTGGGACAGAGCAATGGGAGCTCACCCCCATCACAGGGATTTGAACTGCAGACCTTCTGATCAGCAACCCCGAGAGGCTCAGTGGTATAGACCAGCAGTGTGACTGGTGCAGTAGGATGAGCGAGAAAGCAAGGAATTGGGATGTGGGACACTGGTGGAAATGCCTTTGAGGGAGAAACCTCCAGAATTTCCTTCTTCTACCTTACTTGTTACCATTATTTCATTAAACTGGGCAACTGAATCCTGAAGTCTTGTTTGGGAGACGGTGGCAGAAAGAGGAGCTACAGTTATGTTTCTAGATGCTTTCCCCCCTGTTTCCTTGCCACGTAGGACTGGAAATCTTAGAATGCAGAAACACAGATCTTTCAAGCATATCACAAATATCATTTGTGGTTTTTTTTAAGTGTCATTTTTAATTGCCTTCGAACCCTCCTCTATGGAAAATGAATTTTAAACTGCCAACAGGGCAACATCACAAGCACTTAGCTGGATGGTGGATTCCAGAGTGTTGTCAAATGTAGCTCTAATTGTACTTCCAACCTATCATTATGTTAGAAATGCAATGCTATCGTGATTAAAGACTCGCCTATCTCTACCCATCTTGCCTAAACAGTCTTGCATGTGCAATCAGTAATACATGTAAAAGAGAGAGAGAGAGAGAGAGGCACCCAAGCCTAAAGGGTGATCATTATCACATTAGCAAATTTCCTCCCATTTGTAATAATAGCTTGGGAGCAACATGAGTACAGTGCATTCCAATACTTACTTATTCAAAAGACAACCCTACTGAGGTCAACAGGGCTTACTTCCAAGTAAGGGGGCATGGGATTGGAGCCTAGTTTCTCAAAGGGTAACTACTACAATAACAGCAGCCATGGTATGGCTAGGCAATTAGGAACTGATGTATCTTTTCAATGTTATAAAAGCACAAGAAAAGCCTACTGATCAAGCCAACGGCCCATCTCATTCAGCATCCTGTTCTCAGTCCTCTCCACACCAACTTTGTGTCCATTTCTATGATTAGCAGCACTGAGGGAAAGCCTCATACATGGTCTGAAGTAGGGCTGGGCAATATCACCAGCTAAACATGGTGATATATGAATATGTAACAATGTCTGAAATAAGGATGGAACTATGTGATTCTTGACTGTGATTCTATAAATTTGATATACAGTAAAATGACGCGGGTGGCGCTGTGGGTTAAACCATAGAGCCTAGGACTTGCCCAATCAGAAGGTCGGCGGTTTGAATCCCCGCAACGGGGTGAGCTCCCGTTGCTCGGTCTCTGCTCCTGCCAACCTAGCAGTTTGAAAGCACGTCAAAGTGCAAGTAGATAAATAGGTACCACTCTGGTGAGAAGGTAAACGGTGTTTCCGTACGCTGCTCTGGTTCGTCAGAAGCGGCTTAGTCATGCTGGCCACATGACCCGAAAGCTGTATACTGGCTCCCTCGGCCAATAGAGTGAGATGAGCACCGCAACCCCAGAGTTGGCCACGACTGGACCTAATGGTCAGGGGTCCCTTTACCTTTACCTTTAAAATGCCTTTCTATATCTTTAACACTAACAAAACAAGATATTCAATATTTTCTTCAAGTTGGTACCCCTGGCAGGGAGCATTTCCTAGCAGCCTTCTGCTGAGCGGCTAAGCACCAGTGAATCGGTCTTGTTTACAGGTGTGGAAAAAAGACTGAAGCTCAAGGTTTCAGCAGGCAAGTGTTTCTGTGGGAGTAGAAGGGTTGAAGAAGGCTGTCCTTAGTCCCGACACACACAGGACAATTCTGCTGTAGCAGAGGTATCATTTTAATATTTTATCCAGGGTTTTTTCCCCCTTCGACTGTAGCTCACAGGAGCTCAACTCCAGTAACTCTCAGGTGGGCACCGTTGCCATTCTAAGAGAACAAGGGTTCACGGTGAGCTCCAGAGTCTCTTTTTCTAGAAAAAATAGCACTGATTTTACCTATTCGTGCCAACATGCCTAAGATGGCTTGGATTGCTAATATGGAGCTGCCAGGGTCAATTTCACAAAATGGCATGAAATATCGGATGCCTCAAACCAGCACACCCAAGCAATGGTGGAAACCAAAAGGCAAACTTGAGTTACAATCCACTTTATCAGGCGGCTACTTCCTTGTCACCCTACAAGTTTCCCCTCCACTTCCCAAGTCTACAGAACCCTGCAAAACATAAGCAATGTTACGTTCAAAGACTGCATTTGAACGATAGGCACAAACTATTCAGGACTTCTAAGTCCTGATGATTTCACTTGGAGAGATTTAGGCACATGCTTCAATAAACTCAAAGAAACTGAAATGTTTTTAATTTTGGCTGGCTCATGCCGTGTTTTATTACTGTTTTCCATTCATATTGTTTGTCCATCAGTGCTTTATTTTCCTATTATTATGTTTTATTTTATTATGTTTTTCATTTCTTCTCTTATCTATATGGAAAATATTTCTGACAGCACACATGCAGAGTTCCAATTTTATTTTTATAGCTAGGTTGGACCTGTTTTGTGTGGAATATAGAATAAATTTTCCACACCTTAAAACACACTCACATGCACACATGTAGGATGTGAGCAATAACCACAAGCTATACCTCTGCTGTTTTAGTTTTTTTGTTTTTTTTTAATGCTTGCTATTCGTTGTATAAACACTTCTCTCATTATTGGCTGATTTTCTGCAGTGTGGACCATCACTTCTTTTTCTCATATTGCAAGGGACTGTAGGGACTGACTATTAACAGGGGTCAGCAAACCTTTTCAGCAGGGGGCCGGTCCACTGTCCCTCAGACCTTGTGGGGGGCCGGATTATATGTATTTTTTGGGGGGGGGGATGAACAAATTCCTATGCCCCACAAATAACCCAGAGATGCATTTTACATAAAAGGACACATTCTACTCATGTAAAAACATGCTGATTCCCAGACCATCTGCAGGCTGGATTTAGAAGGCGATTGGGCTGGATCCAGCCCCTGGGCCTTAGTTTGCCTGCCCATGGACTATGACAATCTAAACAATGAAGCAACAACTTTGTGAAATCTGGATTAACTACAAGTGCATTAAGATGCTGAGTATCATTTTCAGTGGTAGCTCTATGTATTCTGGAGAATGGTGCATTCTGGGGTGCAGCATCTAAGATTTGCAGGAAAGCCATACAGAACCCTGTCACACATGTATTTCCTTGTTTTGTTCCCAATAAGGCTTGCGGAACATGTGATGAGTTCAATGACGATAGTGTACACATTTGATGGCCAAGTGATGAGCAAGCATGTTAGAACTATAACCTATAATTACATAGGATGGCTAATTGAAAGGGAAGCCAAATGGGTGCTGGGACCAACCAGGATATTGGCTTCAACATAGGTGGCTGCAAAGGTTTAACCAGTGGTGGAAACAAGGGCATGCAAGTCAACCCTAAAATACTACTATTACCAATTGATACATATTGATTATGGCTTCGCTGAATTAGATCTGTATCAGGGTGCTTCAATTCGAATCAGTGGAGCTGCATAAAAGTGGAGTAGATGATCATACACAGAACAATAAGACTATTCCTCTGGTACTTAGATCTTGGCACGGTATGGCAATTATTGGTACAGCTGCCTCAAATGAATGGGAAGGTTCTGCACATGCAAAACACCCATTTGAGGAGCAAACTGTTTTTTAAGGAATGGTTTCATGTGTTGCCCCATTAGCATTTCTTTTTGCTTATTGAAAGAGGTCTATGAAGCTCCTTCACATCTGCAGTGGCATTAATTTATCATGGATTGGGGCTGAGCATCCTAGCATATGGAATCAACGAAAGTCAAAGCTCAACACTGAGACTTAGGCCGAGTTGATGATAGCTTCTTTCCCTTCACTTTCAAACTAATGTGTGAACCAGAAGTATAGTCAGCTGCCTCAATGGATAGACTACATTTTTTTAACCCTATTCAACACTGTCAGCCACATGTAGTCATGTATGTGGGTATCTGCCGTTCATATGACAGATGACTAAGGAAGGCAGGTGTGCTGAAGACTCTGCTATATGCCTGCATCATGCCACAGATGATTTCACCATCAGATGGGCATGCTAGGGTCTAAGACTCCATTTGGTCTACCTCATTCCTATGATCTCAGCTTCAAGAAGGGCTAGTATTTTTCCCCACCAATTCCTGCTCTCTGTCTTTGAAAGTCACAGTATGATTCCCAAGGCCTCTTGTACATTTGCCTCCTTCTATGATGCCATGTATTTCTCTATGTACAGCACAATCCTACAGATGTATACTCAGAAGTAAGTTCCATTGGTTTCAATACCCCCAGGTAAGTGGGTGACAGCAATGCAAGCCTTAATCTTCTTTTACTTGCAATGTTCCTGGTTTGCCATATAATGAGTTACATTTGGACTGCACACCTGAAGGAAAGTTCCCCTTGGCTCACGTCATCAACACCCCCAGTTTCTCTGAAAGGACATCAGGGCAAGGGGAAGGCCATTCTGACCCCAATAATCAACCAGGAGACTAACAACTGCCTGGTTCTAAGCTACCATGAGGATCTTTCCATTGAAAGGAAGGGTACAAACTTTTTTCATCAATGAGGCAGATGCCTAGAGTGGTTGTTGTTGTTGTACTACTTCCCATCTTTGAAAAGTATGAAGCAGCAATCACCCTAGAGCTCTGAAAAGCACTGACAGAAGAAGGTGGAAGCTGCAGTGTGGACATCAAGACAAGGTCACTGGGAGAAGCTCTGGAGAAGACTGAAAGACAGCAGTGCTTTATACAGAGACTGGGATGAGGAAAGGACTTAATCCCCTTCCTTATTCTGGAATCCAGCTCCAGGGTTCAGAGGAGAGAGGCCTGATTTAAGCATGGCTTGAAGGTTTGAGTACAACCTTTTTAATGTATTTGTTTATATTAATTAGTGAGATTTACAGCCCACCCCATCCTGAAGGCCTTTGAAAGGAAATACAAGGGTATTGTGCAGTCAGCAGCACATCTAATTTCTATGGCTACGTGCAGCGTGAACTCGCTTGTAGCTGGACAGACTGAATGCCGCCATTCACAGCAAGGACTGAAACATAAGCCCAACGTTTTCACAGCTGTGGACCAGTGTTGGAGCCATTTTGTTAATAGACCTGAACTCAGATAGGTGTGATTGGGGCCCGAATCACTGCAATCTTAACCTATTTAGTCCCCCCAAACATTCCAATTAAATTATACGATGCAAACTTCATAGAAACTCGTAATGATGGCTTCTGAGCCTCATTTTGACTCCTTTTCCATATAGTAAGAGGAATTACAGCTGAAGGCATACTAAATTACACAAAAATGAATGGGTAGGACAATGCTACTCATGGATTTCCCCATCCAATCAAGTAACCTGACATCTTCCTTGGAGTACTAGGTGTTGAAGCAACTGCTTCTTTAAAAAGAGCAGTTGTTACAGTTTCTGTCACAGCCTTTGACCTTCTTGGTGTAGGTATTGGGAATCTTTGGTCCCCCAGATGTTGTTGAACTCCAACTCCCACCATCCCTAGTCATTGGATGTGTCTCCAGGACTGATGGGTGTCATAGTCCACTATAGGATAGAAGTGACATAAAATGGAAGTAGAGTTATCTGTCCATTCCTAACTTTAAGCTACAGCAAGGAAGCACAACACCTGAAGATGGCACCCATCCAAACATCTGCCAACTTTAATATTAATAAATAATAATAATAATAGCATAAATAGCTCATAAAAACCTATGTTTTGCAATCAGAATAAGTGCTGTCATAGGGTGAAAATTCACTTGCAAGATATTCATCACCTATTTTAAAGGCAGGGACTGAGAACTTAAAAGTTATAGGCCATTCACTTTTGGATTAGCTAATGATTTACATTTGCAAAGAGATTAATAATGTTTTGCATTTCTGCTGGCACAGTGGCATACATCTACATGATACCAATGAAATTATATTCATTAAATACATTTCAGCCTTGGTTATATAAAAAATGGTTAATGAAGTTTGGCTTCAATCATCTTTATCAATTAACCAAGCCTTTTTCCCTGATCCTAAACATCTGTGCAGCAAAATGCTATCCAACTGGAACTTACTCAAGTGTAAAGTCACAATCATGTAAAGTGGTACCTTGGTTTTCAAACTTAATCCGTTCCGGAAGTCCATTCCAAAACCAAGGCGTGCTTTCCCATAGAAAGTAATGCAAAATGGATTAATCTGTTCCAGAAGGCTGTAGCTAAAACTAGGAGGAGGAGGAGAACAGCAAAAACAAAAGCACCAAACTTAATCCGTTCCGGAAAGCGCAGCTTCTGATTGGTGCAGTACCCTGGAAATAATAGCTGACAGCCGCATCGGATGTTTGGCTTCTGAAAAATGTTCGAAAACTGGAACACTTACTTCTGGGTTTTTGGGATTTGAGAACCAAGACGTTTGAGTACCAAGGTGTTTGAGAACCAAGTTACCACTGTAAAAGGTTTTTTGAAAGGAAAAAAGCTAAAGGTCCCCTTGATGGTTAAGTGCAGTCAAATTTGACTATGGGCTGCGGACCTCATTTTGCTTCAGGCCAAGACAGCATGGCTGGCAACCCTACTTTGCCAGTCTAAGAGCTCTGAAAGAAGTAGTTTTGCAGCAATGACAGCACTTTCCAGGCTGATGCTATAAGAGTGCATCTTATCTCCTTTCTCTTCTATGAATTACATTTGCTGGCACATTTTTTTTTTTATCTTTGAAAAGATTCATAGACCGCTTAATTATAAAACATGCTAAGTGGTGTACATAGTAAAAAATATAGATAAAAACACCTCTAAAATCAACTTTTAAACAACAACAGTGTTGCTTGGGTCTTTTTTTCTTGTGTAGTGCAGTTGCTGCTGTTAATATGTGGAAATTGTTCAGTTTGTTTTGTTTTGTTTATTGTTTATGACGACTTTAGCCCTGTTTGCAGTTGGGTAATTTTTTTTATGTGGTAAGCTGCCTTGAGCATCATCGGAACTATGAAAAGGTGGCATACAAATAAGATGATCGATCGATCAATTATACTCAATAAAATGCAGCAAAAAAAAGCAAGAAAACTTTGAAAGCTTAACACTGATACCGACATTATATTTCTGGGTAGGTTTGCTAGAATTGTAAAAAAAGTTTCACCAGATGCCTAAAACAATGCAGTGTCTACATCGGAGTAGAAAAGGACGCAAAAGGGATGTGGGTAGCACTGTGGTCTAAACCACTGAGCCTCTTGGATACCCAGTGTGGTGTAGTGGTTAAGAGCGGTGGACTTGTAATCTGATGAACCAGGTTCACTTTCTCGCTCTTCCACATGCAGCTGCTGGGTGACCTTGGGCTAGTCACACTTCTCTGAAGTCTCTCAGCCTCACTCACCTCACAGAGTGTTTGTTGTCAGGGAAGAAGAGAAAGGAGATTGTTAGCCACTTTGAGACTCCTTAAAGGGAGTGAAAGTCGGGATATCAAGTCCAAACTCCTCTTCTTCTTGGTGATCAGAAGGTCAGCAGTTCACAAATCCACATGACGGGGTGAGCTCCCATTGCTCTGTCCCAGCTCCTGCCAACCTAGCAGTTCAAAAGCATGCCAGTGCAAGTAAATAAATAGGTACCACTGTGGCAGGAAGGTAAATGCTGTTTCCATGTGCTCTGGTTTCCATCACGGTGTTCTGTTGTGCCAGAAGCAGTTTAGTTATGCTGGCCACATGACCTGGAAAGCTGTCTGTGGACAAACGCCAGCTTCCTCAGCCTGAAAGCGAGATGAGCACCACAACCCCATAGTCGCCTTTGACTGGACTTAACCATCCAGCGGTCCTTTACCTTTGTCTTAGAAAAGCACGCAAAGGAATGGTTTCAAGCATAAGAGTTAAGAAACATGCTGTTACATGTCACACTGCTGCCCTGAATCTTGAAAAACAGATCTAGACCCAGTACCCCCATCCACACACCCCACCGAAGCATGAGTAATCTTTACATTGGCTTTGCCCATTCCCTATTTTAAAATGGTCTTGAAACACAATTGCAGTGCCAACCTGTCCGGTGTAGCCTGGCTACTGGGAGCCTTTCAAGGATAGTGACCCTTAACTACTTGGATAATTAGTTCCGTCCTGTTAACTTGTAGCTGTAGCATTCCTCATTTTAAATTTAATTAGTTTGTTCATGTCTGGGGAGGCAGGGTGGAAGGACTCTGGACCCAGAAAAATTGCTCCCTTAAAAAACAACAACAACAACCTGTACTTTTTATTATTGCAGTTGCAAAGATGCCAGGCACTTGAAGTCACAATTTGCCTAGGACTGGAAACGCTACCTGTGTGAAGTGTGGACTTGAGCAGCCCTTATAGCCTAACAAAATCCACGGATTTAAGAGCCCATGTGTAACGTCAAGGTTGCATCCGAGGGTTATTTAGATCTGTAGGAGAGGTTAGTTACACATGAAAACTAGTATAAACAGGGGTCTAATTCATTGCATCTATCCCTGAACGAGCCTGGACTGATTGTAATAAAAGACAGATGTCTAGCATATGGCACCAGAAAGATCGGCAGCATGAAAAGACAGCTATTGAAACTCAAATGTTTCCTTTCCCCCTTTCATGTCCTTGGGAAACAGGGATGAATGAAGTCAGGTGAACTGGAGATCTTCAAAGCTATCCTGAATTAGTGCCGTTGACACTGCAGTTGTTTAATAATAAGACTAGGGCAAGGGAAGGCTACATTTTATGCGGCACACATTTCTCCTCGTAGGGGAGCAAGAAATGTGCTTAGAAAATCCCTAGTACAAACTTACCGATGTTGTCAGACACAGTAATACAAGTGTAAACATTTAGGTCAGTGCCCAGAGATAAGGAGCGGCTGCTGGTGTCAGAAAATTTTGGAACAGATGGCACACGATCAATTCATTATTATGTGTTCTAGACATCTGTCTCAAGCAAGAAGGCTGAATTGTGGCTGAGTCATATAAACATCCAGGGGATAGACTTTAAATCTGCACATTATCCATGCCTGCCTTGACATGAAATTCTCCCTAGCAACCCCCCCCCCCCCCGGGCCGGTAACATTGCTCATTCTTTGGAGTCACGGCACATACAATATATACCATATGTGTTATGAGTGGGGTAACTTTTCCGTGTGCCTGAATTTGGACAGGTGAGTGAGGATTTCGAGCTGCTGATCCCTCTTAATCCAATTGGTTTAGAGCCTTGCACTGTGGACTTGTGATCAGAGAGGGTTGGGTCATGACAAACTGCTAAATTAAGATGTAAAAATAGATACTTATAGGCACAAATGTTAGCAGGAGCGTACAGAACACAGCATGATGGTTGGAGGGATATTCCCAACTGAATATCCCAAGGAACACACACCTGGCCAATAAGCTCACGCCCTCCAATATTTCTCTGATGAAAATAGGGATGTCCTATTCAACAACCACAACAGCAATTTTATTATTGATACCCCACCCACCTGACTAAGTTTCCCTAGCCACTCTCAGCATGTTTGCCCAAATGGCAACATGGTCCCACAGTTGGAAAAAACAACAACGCTGTTCTAATTGGAGATACCAGGGGCCATTTCACACAAAGCTTTTGTTTGTCAGTAATAACCTCTCCAGGAAATAGGGTTGTTCTCCCTGCCCTCCAACCCTCTGAATCCTAAGGGTACTGGATCTATAATTTTCTTGGCAAGATGTTCCTCCGTGGGAGCATTACTGGTTAAGGGAGGCTGATCTAACTTCCTTTAGAAATGGCTGTAGAAATAGTTAATCCAATGTAAAGTCGAGGTGGGCCGCATAAAGCAGTGGGTGGTCAGTCAGGGGCCATATGCCAGGACCTGGGAGTGGACAGGGCCAGGTCTGGGGTCCCGCTTGCTTCCCCTCACACTTATACACATGCATACTCTCTCTCACACACATTCACTTGCACAATCTCACTCAGGCAACGTATTCATTCCTCATCCCCAATACCCATCCTCCCCCAGCCTCCCTCACACAGACATCCTAAACGCCTTGCTCCCTCGCAATCATACTGACGCACAACCTTCACACAGATGCAACCTCCCCATATCTCTTTCTCCCCTGCCCTCTTCTCTCCCGCACAAACCATGTTTAACCTCCCTTCCCGGCAATTCCGAAGTACCATGCTGCTTGCCTGAGGTCAGAAATGGGGTTTGTTGGGGGCGCAAGGTCAAAGCCTCTGCTCTCCATTAAGACCTGGTGCAGCCTGAATGGAGCTTGGTCCATAGAGTATGAGCCTCTTTAGGGTCATGGGTTCGAGCCCCATGTTCCTGCCATGAACTAGATGACCTTCATGGTACCTTCCAACTCAACAATTCTATGATTCTATATCCCCATATTGCTGTTAGCAGCAAAGGGACAGTGAACCTGGCTGCACTGGGAGTGCTGGGGGAGGCATATTAAAGCCCCAATGCTGTTCTTTTGCTGCTAGTAACAGTCCCTGAGGCTTGGTGGGCCACAGACACCATATGTGTAACATAAAGCATCATAATCTTCCTAGCAGAAAAAAAATCTATTGCGTGCACATGTTTCTAGCTTTACCACACCTTTCTTATGTTATGTTATGTATTATTTCTTATATTTATATGCCATATTTTTTCCCCTTCAAGGTGGTGTACATGGTTATCTCTTTCAGCTTCGGCCTTCTGGAAGAAGGTACAGGGTTATAAAGAATAGAACTAGCCGCCTGAGAAACAGTTTCTATCCAAATGTGATTTTGGTTTTAAACGCAGTGTAAGGTATCAGAGTTTTTAGGAGGTTGACAAGGCTGGGCTAGCTGGGATAGGCTTGTTGGTTTTTGAATGTCTGATGTAGATTTTTTCAATTTCATTGTTCTGTATGGGACAACGACAATAAAGATTATTGTATTGTATTGTATTGTATCGTATCGTATCCTCCTCCCCACTCTACCCTAACAACAAGCCTGTGAGGTAGGTTAGGCTGAGAGACAGTGACTGGCTCAAGGTTACCGAGTGAGCCTCGTGGGTGAGTGGAGATTCAAATCTTGGTCTCCTAGTCCAACACTCTTTATATCTTTCATAAGGGCCAATGGAAAACAAACATGTTCAGATCATGGTAAGAAATAGCTCTAAGAATATTGCAGCCTACTCCCTCCTCTGCTCTTGAAATTTGTGCTTACTCGGTTGTTCTGTTAATGTGCTTTGCGAATGTACATTTTCTTGCTAGACATTACGTGTATTAAATTGTTCTACCCAGAGGCCCTTGCAAAAAATTAGCCAAGAAAAGTAATACTAATTACTACAAGCACGGTATGCAATATTAAAATGCTAACATGAGATTGCTGATAAAAGGCTTGGAATAAGTCGGTGCATATTCTGAATGCAACTGAGGCGAACTAATATATGCAATTTGGCCTAATATATTTAGGAGCTATTACTGTTTTGGGCATGGTTTGGACATGGGATTATTTTATTTATTTATTCTGAAAACAACCTTAAGAGTTTTAATGAAGACTATGCATTACCACTGTAGCAAAGGAAATGTTCTGCAAGGCTTTGGACAAGTACGAAATGTTTTGCAATTCCTCACAGCAGCAATTACGGATTGGGAAGCAGCCACAAACCTGTTTGTCTCCCTAAACTACTACTGTTGACATTAAACTGGGAAGGATTAGGGTAGTTGAGTAACCTGGCCCATTTGCATCGTCAAGTCTTCTGGGGACACACCTGTCAGTGGAAATGTTGTTATGAATGAGCCTAAGGGGTTGGGAGATCATTGCAGAACAGCCAGAACGTATAAACATTATTACATTGAATATTAATAACATACAAATTAATTTTATAACTTTTTTAAAAAGTGTGTATTATTTCCAGTATGTTTGCGCTCATTGGCCAGACAGCAGTAGGCATAGTACTTTGTCCTGAGGAATTGGGGGTAATATTGCCTGCATGCTTTGTCTTACAGCAGGGCTGGTTCCAAGTCACAGGGGCAACAAAGGTCCTTCAGCAAAGTGTCCTGGAGTGGGCTCAGACTCCATCAGTGAAGCCCCCTGCCCACCTGTTTCCTTTCCCAGGTGCCAAGCCTAGGAAGTCAGCTGCCATTTTAGTTTTCCTGCAAGGCAACAGCCACTGTCCCACAGCTTTGTGGGAAAATCAAAATGGCGGACAGACTACCAACCACTTCCACCACATATCCTCCAACATTTCTCTGATGAAAATATTGTTACTCAATAGCAACAACAGCAGCAGCAGCAATTTTATCATTTATACCCCACCCATCTGACAGGATTGTCCCAGTCACTCTGGGCGGCTTGGCTCGAGGGTCGCATAACTCCACACCCTCCAGCATTTCTCTGATAAAAATTGGGATTCCCTAAGGAAAAGATGGATTATGGTGCTGGAGGAGACTCTTGAGAGTCCCATGGACTGCAAGAAGATCAAAACTATCCATTCTGAAGGAAATCAGCCCTGAGTGCTCACTGGAAGGACAGATCCTGAAGCTAAGGCTCCAATATTTTGGCCACCTCATGAGAAGAGAAGACTCCCTGGTGGGACCCTGATGTTGGGAAAGATTGAGGGCACAAGGAGAAGGTGACAACAGAGGACGAGATGGTTGGATAGTGTTCTCGAAGCTACCAGCATGAGTTTGACCAAACTGCGGGAGGCAGTGGAAGACAGGAGTGCCTGGCGTGCTCTGGTCCATGGGGTCACAAAGAGTCGGACATGACTAAACAACTAAACAACAACAAGGAAAAGGGGGGCATTTCAAGATCAAATCAGAAACCAGGATGGCTTCTGTAAATACAGGACAGTCCCCGGAAAATAGAGACATCTGAAGGGTCTGAAGGGGTCCTCCAGCAAAGTGCCCTCGAGTGGGTCCAGACTCCGTCAGTGGTGTCCCCTGCCCACCTGCTTCTTCTCTCAGATGCCCAGAAACCTAGGAAGTTAGTTGCCATTTTAGTTTTTCTGCAAGGCTACATCCGCTGTCCCACAGCTTTGTGGGAAAATCAAAATGGGAGGTGGATTCCCAGCCGCTGCCTCATAAGCCTGCATCCAGGGGGCTGGGAGGAGGAGGAGACTGCCCAAAATCAGTCTGGTGAACCCTGTCCATGTGCTTGGGTCCCAGCTGCTGCCCAAGGGTGCTGCAGCCAGTCATTTCCCATACCTTCCCTAGTTAAAAAGCCAGAGACTTTTCTAAACATGAAAGCTGAACATTTCAGGGAAGATCCTAAAGCAATCTTGGAGGGACCAGGCCTGCTCAGGACTATTGGCTGTGTTGGGATATCAACCTGTAAACTCACTTCAACCTCTGTCTTCTTAGGTTCAAAGAGGTGTTGAGCTGACGTGAGCTGGAAGAGAAGGAACGGCTCTTTTTCGTTCCAGGAAAGGAATTACATAAACAGTAGGAGGATTGTTATCTCTAAAGATGTTCATATTTAGAGAAACACAATGATATCTAAGAGGGAAGATTGAAATAGTCAGCAAGGGTGTGTACCTGAAACAACCTTGGATCTCTTGTTCCAGGTGAGGAGTCCTCATTTCAGCACAATGACTTTAGAGTCCTGACTATCAACAAACTCAAAGTAGATAAGCAAAACAATGGCCTGATCTTGAGATCCGAGAGCAGTAGCCCTCACAGGGGCTATAAGAATATGCAAATGCCTTGCTGGATCAGACCACAGAGACCAGCTTCTTCAGAAACCAGCCAAACATACTTAAGAAGACTATGAGCTGAACAGGGATAGGTGCCCCAATTTTCACAACCTGGATCTGGTGTTTAAAAATATACTCTCATCGAACATGGAAGTTCAATTTTTTAGCTGTAATGGATAATACACACTGACAGACCACAATGTTCTCCTCAACTATGTCAGTGAACAGGAGGAAGGAGGTGATACCTTCAATGAATTCATACATGTCAATGTATGAGGAACAGAAACATTGTTGCCTGAATGAAGCCTTCTACTTCAATTTAAGAACAATGCCTCAAGTTCAGAACTACATGCACAAATGGGGCCACTAGGTTTGGGGGGAAGTCCCCCTCAAACCAACTTCTTGAATCCAGCTTCTGCTGGACTGGGACTACTTCATTTCATTTGACCTGCCTCTACTGCCGAAAGAGCTCATGGGCTATGCATTGCTGAGTTAATTTTCAGACAGTTCTGCGGCTGCTTGAATATGAGTGAAACCTGCAGCTGTCCAGGTCTGTTGTAAATAAAGTTTAGTGAGCTCCTAAGAGAGATGCTCTGCTCCAGAGGAAGAACTTCTGCTCATCAGGCAGTGGCTTGTCCACCTGCCCTGCCCCACCCTCCAGCCCTGGGAGCCTTTCCCAGACCAGGACTTTGAGAACAGCAGAAGCAGCTGAGAAGAGAGGAGTCCAAAAAATATATGTTGTGTGTCCTTGTTTCTCAGTATTGTCCTTTTACATGGGTTTGTACGTTTTGCAGTATTTTATGCATTGTGATTTGCTGTTATTTTTATTGATTATAGATTAGTAATTGTAAAAGATAAGTGCTAACTGTTTAATTATTATTTGCTGATGTTTAATTTTACTGTTTACTATTGGATTCTAATAGATTATTGAATATTGCCTTATTTGATACAAGTTGTTTATTTTAAAGTTATTGTGACTTTTGTGCCTGGAGGATGCGGACCATTTGGATCCCTTCCAATTCAGGCCTCATCATGGGACTGAAACTGCCTTGGTCGTGCTGGTTGATGATCTCTGACGGGCTAGGGACAAAGGTGAAAGCTGTTTTCTAGTTCTGTTAGATCTCTCAGCAGCTTTTGATACAACTGATCATAACACCCTTCTGAACCGTCTGGAGGGGCTGGGGGCACTGTTATACAGTGGTTCTGCGCCTTCCTCCTGGGCCGTGTCTAGAAAGTGGGGGGGGGAATGAGTGTTCAGACCCCTAGGCTCTCACCTGTGGGGTGCCTCAGGGTTCCATCCTGTCCCCCATGTTTTTAATAACATCTACATGAAGCCACTGGGAGAGATCACCAGGGGGTTTGGGCTGGGTGTCCATCAATATGCGGATGATACCCAGCTCTACCTCTTTTTCAAATCAGAACCAGTGAAGGCAGCGAATGTCCTGTGTGAGTGCCTGGAGGCGGTTGGAGGATGGATGGCGGCTAATGGATTGAGGTTGAATCCTGACAAGATAGAAGTTCTGTTCTTGGGGGACAGGGGGCTGGCTGGTGTGGAGGACTCCCTGGTCCTGAATGGGGTAACTGTGCCCCTGAAGGACAAGGTGTGCAGCCTAGGAGTCATTTTGGACTCACAGCTGTCCATGGAGGCACAGGTCAATATTGTATCCAGGGCAGCTGTCTACCAGCTCCATCTGGTACACAGGCTGAGACCCTACCTGCCCGCAGACTGCCTCACCAGAGTGGTGCATGCTCTAGTTATCTCTTGCTTGGACTACTGCACCTTTGAAGGTGACCTGGAAATTACAACTAATCCAGAATGCGGCAGCTAGACTGGTGACCGGGAGCGGCCGCCGAGACCATATAACACCGGTCCTGAAAGACCTACATTGGCTCCCAGTATGTTTCCGAGCACAATTCAAAGTGTTGGCACTGACCTTTAAAGCCCTAAATGGCCTTGGCCCAGTATACCTGAAGGAGCGTCTCCACCCCCATCATTCAGCCCGGACACTGAGGTCCAGCACCGTTCTGGCAGTTCCCTCACTGTGAGAAGCAAAGCTACAGGGAACCAAGCAGAGGGCCTTCTCAATAGTGGCGCCCGCCCTGTGGAACACCCTCCCATCAGATGTCAACGAGATAAACAACTACCTGGCATTTAGAAGACATCTGAAGGCAGCCCTGTTTAGGGAAGTTTTTAATGTGTAACATTTTAATGTATTTTTAATCTTTGTTGGAAGCCGTCCAGAGTTGATGGGGCAACCCAGCCAGATGGGTGGGGTACAAATAAAATTATCATCATCACCATCATCAGCTCTGTGGGGCTGTCAGATAAACTGCCAAAACACCAGAAGCTTTCACATTTGACTGCATCATTCCTTACAACGCAACACACATCTTCAGAGTCACATGACTGGGTACTACTTTCTATGGCTGAATGGCACAGACCTTTGGGGTGTTAAGGTCAGCAGAGAATGGTTCCACCACTCTCAGAAGTTCAGCAGGTGGTGGTCTGGAAGACAGCATTCTCTGCAGAAGCACCAAAATTGTGGAACTCCATCCTTCCCATAAAGGTCTGCCTGGTACCTTCATTACATTGTTTTTGCCATATGCTGATGACATGCCTCTTTACCCTATCTTTTGACACGTGAGAGGTACATTTTCAAGACTCACACTATTCCTGTGATTGGAATTTGTTACAAACTGTTTTCCTATTAACTTTGAATTGTTGTGACCTGGCCTGCAACCTTCTGGTGAAGGGTGGATAATTATTATTATTAATTATAATACTGCCAATTTGGCAACTGCTGCCCTCCTGGCACCACACTGCAGCTGCAATTATGGCCTGGAGTAGCATTAGCCACGCACCTGCCTTGAGCATGATCTTCAAGGTGCTCCTTTCTGTAGCCTGCATAAGAAGCCATGGAGAACTGAGGTGGCCTTGCTCAACCACATCCATAAAATATTGCTGCTGGCTCCACTACAGTCAGGAATCAATCTGGCAAACACGCTGCTGTTCCTCTTTCAGGTCATGGTGGATTGCTAAAGGATTAAATAAATGAGTGCGCGCAGAACCAGCGCTGGGTGGAAAGGGAACCTGGGCCACAGCTGAGGGACAGTTTAGTTGGTAGTGCATGAGACTCTTACTCTCAGGTTTGTGGGTTCGAGCTCCATGTTGGGTGAAAAGACTCCTGGGGTTGGACTAGATGACCCTCAGTGTCCCTTCCAACTCTGTGATTCCTTCCTGCCACAGCGGTACCTATTTATCTGCAGTGGTACCTCAGGTTACATACACTTCAGGTTACAGATTCCGCTAACCCAGAAATATTACCTCGGGTTAAGAACTTTGCCTCAGGATGAGAACAGAAATTGCGCAGCAGCGGTGCGGTGGCAGCGGGAGGCCCCATTAGCTAAAGTGGTGCTTCAGGTTAAGAACAGTTTCAGGTTAAGAACGGACCTCCAGAATGAATTAAGTACTTAACCCGAGGTACCACTGCACTTGCACTGGCGTGTTTTCGAACTGCTAGGTTGGCAGGAGCTGGGACAGAGCAACAGGGGCTCACCCCTTTGCATGGATTTGAATTGCCAACCTTCTGATTGGCAAGCCCAGGAGATTCCAGGCAGGGCTAGGACAACCCTGGAGAGTTTCTGCCAGTCATAATTCTGAGCTAGGTGGACCAGTGGCCAGACTCAGGAGAAGGCAGCTTCCTATGTTTAAGCAGTCAAGAGTACCCCTACTTTCCTGGAAGAGGTAAAAACGGTGTGAGTCTGAAGTTGAAAGGTCCACCGCATGCAATAGGGCAGCCATCCTGATGTCTTCCAGCTGTTTGGTGCTATCATCAGCCTTGCCAAACCATGGAATATTAGAGTTGGAAGAGACCCAAAGGACCATCTAGTCCATCTAGCCCCTACAATGCAAAGCCTCAGCCAGCTTAGCCAACGGTCAAGGAGAATGGGAGTTGCAGCAAAACAGCTGTAGGGTTTGGAAAAGCTGCATGAAAGCCTTGGCCAACAACTCGTTTGACCAAATAACCACTTTAAGCAGGAGCTGGAGAAGAGCGGCCCAAGGTCTGAGCCTCCCTTCAGCCAAGGTCTCCTTTCAGTGGCCATTGCTCTTTCCTCTCGTTTCTCCAAGTTTGTAGCAAATCAGGCCCACTAAGGTCTTGAGCAGGAATTCCATGCAAGCTCTGACTAAATAAATGGAGACCACCGAGGGACAGTGTATGGTGGGCTATTGGATAGCTACTAGTAAATATACAACTAGCCTCAAAAATATATTTAAATGGGAAAAGTTTTTCTTTTAAATTATAGCAGGATCAGATTTTTGCACATAGAAGCCAGTGCACTGATGAAAACAGTGGATTGTATCCAATCTAAGTTCTACTAAGTTCTGTTTAGGGAAGTTTTTAATGTTTGATGTTTTATTGTGTTTTTAATATTCTGTTGGGAGCCACCCAGAGTGGCTGGGGAAACCCAGCCAAATGTGTGGAGTATAAATTATTATTATTATTATTATTATTATTATTATTATCATCATCATCATAATCATCATCAGACCCTGTGAACTGAATGGACACAACCAGCCCAGACAAATTAAATTCAATGGGAGTTGGGTAAAATTCAGTCTTAGTGAGCACCTTGAGAGGTCTTATTTTTGAGAACCCATTAGGCTTTCGAAATTTCCACTGTCAGTTTTTTCCTGCACAAATGGGTAACATATCTCCCACATGCGACATGTAACATATGAATCCCTGATTCTGCATGTTCTCAGCAGTGCAGTTATCTATCCTCTTCAAAAGTAAGGTCCCGAGTGAAGTATGTGGCTGCAGGAGTTCAATGGAGGGAGCAGTATACTCTGCACGTGCTCGGTAGCACTTTTTCTTTATGATGACATCATGATATTCCAGGAACTAGCCATGGTACTGAGAAGAGATTCAAAATTAAGACCAAGCCCAAATCAAGACCTTGAGAGCAGGGCAAGGGGCAGGAAAAAAAAAGGGGGGGAATGGGTGTGGGTGGGTGGAGTTCATTTCCAGGGGCAAAGGGATGGAATCAAGTGAATTCCAAACAAAGACAAAAATGTGTGTTGGCAGGCCTCTTCGTTGGGAAAAATCTGATTCATGGAATGCACTGCCTCTATAAATAGTTTTTTATCCTGCCCCTACCACATCTGACAGTGATATAAAATATGCCAAACCCACAATTGGGCATCATCCCTTACTTCCAAGGTATATTATTTCCCATAAGGACTGTTTCTTATATTTCACAGCATCCAAACTCAATACAGTATACAGAATCCTGTTTGAGTCAATACATAAATATTGAGGAATCCAGTAGCAGGCACAAATTATCGGCAAATGCTACTTGAACACCCCCCCCTCCCCTCTCTCTCTTTCTTCATATAAACCTATAGGGATTGGCCACAAGATCTGTTCCTCCACTCTTGATTCCATTCTTTTCAGAGCAAGACCGCAGGTGGAGCCATGCAACATGGAGTTTCCTGTGGAGTTATCACACCCACTTCTCACATTTTAGATCCAGTTGCCAGGCCTACAGGCAATTGCCTGTAGCTGTTTTGTGGGCAGGTGACTAGCTGTGCCTTATTATGAGGATTAAGTGCTGCAAATGAACACTGAGAGCACAGCCACGCTCTCCCACTCACGCCTACGCCAACCACACACAAGCACAGCACAGTGGCAAAAATAAAACACCTCCGGGATTCAGTTCTAAAAACAGGAATGCCGAGTCTCAGCCTTGATTGGACCCCCCCCCCCCCCGCTTATCTTATGAGCAACAAAGCCTGGATATTTAACTCTAGGTCTGTAGGCTCCTGACTCCAAAAAAGGGGGTGCGAGAAATGCTTTCTTCACCTGCTCAGAGGCACTCTCCTTTTTTATTCTACTGCTTAAAAAGAAAACACCTCAAAAACGGGTCCTAGCTTGAGTTCAGCATCTTAAACAGCCCTAGCTCCAATACTTTGTAACGCATGTCACTGATAACTTTACTCTTGGTTTCTGACATCATTTATTTTGGCGGAGAAAAGAGAGGGGGGCGCTCCAAAGAGAAGGAGCGCGGCTCTTCGAATTGCACGAGAATCGCACCAGTTTCGTGTCTCCCAGCAAGCGCAAAGCCAAGGCTTGCAGACAGCGAGCGGCGCGCAAAGGAGGAGTGCGGAGTAATGGTTAGATCCCTGCCTGTCCTTTGTTGTTGTTTCGCGGCGGTGCACCAGGGCGCTTGAGCTGCGTACTCTACTCACCATTTCTTGCCGGAGGAGGTGCAGTTTGGTCTCCAGTCTCTCCAAGGCGCTGGAACTCCTGCTGCGGAGCATGGCGGCTCTGGGGCCCAGGGAGGTGCAGAAGCCGGGGGTGGCAGGCCCTCCGGCGGGCCGCTCGGGCTCTTTTTCCCTGGCGAGGGAGACGGCGGGCTCCTCCCCGCGCAAGGAGCGCGCCAGGCTCTCGGGGACTTTGCGCCCCAGCTTGAGCTCGACGTCTCGGAGATCTGGCACGGAGCAATCTTCCATGGCTTGGCAAGCGGGAGAAGGAGGCTTTTCGGATTAAGCGAGCTGCACTCGGCGGCTAGGGGAGACGCAGAGAGCCGAGCTTTTCAACCGCGCCGCCCGGCGCTGGCCGACCTCTCCATGCCAGTCCGCGTTCGGTAATCCAGGCGCGCAGCCCGCGGCAGTCAGACGCGGGGGCGCACGGCAGCCGAGCAGCGGCAAGCCGGCCAGGTGACCCGCCGCGGGAGGCAGCAGCAGCAGGAGGAGCCGCTGTCGCCGCTTCCCGGCAGCTGCATTATTTGGATTTTGCAAACTCCAGCCCTTGCGGTTGTTGCACCAGCTGCCTGCGCCGGAAAAAAAAAAAACCGCGAGCCGGGCGGCTGTAGAGTGCAGATCCCCCGCAATGAAGTTGCAAGGAAGCAGAAGCCAGCTACTTGGAAGATCAGGAGGGAGAAGGGACTTCTTGGAGAGTTGCTGCTCTCCTGCTCCTCCCGAGCCCGATCCCTTCTCAAGTCCGGTAGACTTGAGTGATCAACTGGAGTGAGCGCCCTCCCGGATTAATAAGCACGCACAGCGCTGCTCCTGACCGATCCCGGTGCGCGCGCGCGTGGAGAGAGCTCCCTCTATATCCCCCAGCAACAATTACGCAATAACTCCGCTTCCTCCTCCGATGCAACCGGTCCTACTGGCTCGTCTATACGGTGAAGCCAGTTCGATCCAAGTCGTCTGAGTGTTGTCGAAAGGCAGGTGTACCAGAGGAAAGACAGTCCTTTACCGTAATACTTAGAAAGGGGACTCCTCATATTCCCTAAACGTTTCCAGCATTTGTTAATTTATGGCCCTCTATATCTGAAGCATTGTTCAGCTCAGACACTGAGGTCCAGCTCCGAGGGCCTTCTGGTGGTTCCCTCAGTGCAAGAAGTGAGGTTACAGGGAACCAGGCAGAGGGCCTTCTCGGTAGTGGCACCAGCCCTGTGGGACACCATCCCTTCAGATGTCAAGAAAATAAACAACTATCTGACTTTTAAAAGACAACTGAAGGCAGCCCTGTTGAGGAAAGTTTGTAATTTTTTTTCTTCATGTTTTTTTTATGAGTTGGAAGCCACCCAGACTGGCTGGGGAAAGCCAGCCAAATGGGCAGGGTATAAATAACAATAACAATTTACTATTCCTATCTAGCTGTTATCCAATAGCATTACAGTCCGAAGGCAGCATTGTCTTGGTTAGGATAGCTCTATCATTCTCTAGTTCAGGGGTGTGTCATAAAGTAATGCAGGTGGAACTTACGACAAAAAAATTGCAGGATGCAGTAATCCTGTTCAGGGTTCTAGCTAGCTGCATTCTTACAGGATTCACCATTTAATTCCCTCTCATTTCCCCAGCTATGTTTCAGAGATCAGTGTTGACACTGATCATGTTCAGTCCTCATTGGGGTAGTTTAGGTCCCCCTCCCTCCCCACTTCTGGGAATCTTGTCATTCCCCAAGAGGTCTCCTCTGGTGCTTGGTTTGTGCCCTTTTGGATTCGTAAGGGTTCACAGGCAGACGAGTGTGTTATTAGTAAGGATAGCTCAGTTGGTACACAAGGAGACTCTTAATCTCAGGGTCAGGGGGTTAAAGCCCCATGCTGGACCAAAAAATCCTGCATTGCGGGGGGTTGGACTAGATGATCTTGGTGGTCCCTTCCTGCTCTACAATTCTATGATTCTATGTGGGATCTAATCATTCAGTATGGGTGTTTCCAGACTCATTGGTGGGAGGGGTTCAATTGCATACTGACAACTTCACATTGCACAATTAAAATAGATTTTGCACTTTTAGGCAATGAATCCACTTCCAAAAATAATCTGGCATTTTGGGTGCTTCTAGATGACCGGCCTATTGAGCATTCATCCTGATTTGCTCGCAGGGAGATGAAACAATGCTGGCTATTTAATGAGCATCCATTCTGCTTTGTTTGCTGAGAGGTTAGATGGTGTTACAGCAAAACAACAGTTATCCCACACTTTCCCCATCACTTTCCTTAACCACAAAAGTTCCAATCTTTGGGGTATGTAGGTTTGTTGCACAGGCCTCCCCACCCATTTTAAGTGTTCAAACCATATTTGCCAGTATGTGATTGAATCCCACCTGAAAATAGCAACAGTCTGGAAGTGCCCTTTGCAGGAAGTAAAGTGATTGGGAAAGGCACTGGAACGTGTGAGACAGCAGTTGCTTGATGTAACCTCTCTGCAGAAAAATCCCAATGAATTTTCAATACACAGTGGGTGTTGAATCACCCCCTGCAGACTTTGCACGAGCAAATCAGGATGAATGCACAGTAAACAGGTCATCTGGAATGACATGTACACAGATAGCCCCATTTTTTTAAAAAAATAATCCAGCAATATAAATAGGATTTTATAGAGCTGGTCACAGCAAATTTGTGCATGCAGTACACACACACAAAAACACAATTTATATGTAGCACCCTATTTTTTTTTGTAAAAATGCCCCAAAAGTGGCTAACAAACTGAATACAACCCTCCTCCACAAATACCACTTTTTCAGTGCCACCAATTTTAATCTGGAGGGAGAACTGTCCCAGGGATTGGATCTGCAGAAAATACCACACATTACCAAATCAGCTCCCACTGTAACACAGGAATTGGGTATGACTGACAGCTAACATCTTTTTGAAGTTCCTCACACGAAACTATTGGTTTCTGAACTGCTGTTAATGAAAGAATCCTGGCCCGTAAGAAGGACAAGTGAATTGCTAGACGACTGAAAATCTTTAACAGAGAGTGTTGCCATTATTTCAGAATAGCAACAGGATTCTGGGCTTGCTAAGGCCATATTTGCTTGCTGTCTATCCCCTAGCCTCCAAACTCTGGGCTGAGGAACAAGGGATGCTTTGGTCTTACTACATTACTACTGGACTAGGGGGAACAGGCTAAACAGCTTTACCTGGTTTTTATTTGCTTTTATCTTGCACACGGTATTCTGCTGCCCTTTAAAAGGACAGCCACTGACCTGCTCGGGGATTTTCTTTTCCTCTTGAGGCTTCTGCACCGTGTACAGATGGAACACGATATTGCCTTTGCCATGGAGAATGAAATACTGTAATCCAAAACATCACAGGGCAGCTAATCTCTTTACATAATTGAGGCACACGCCCATTGTTAAAATAATCTGTGATATCACATGTAAATGGTTAGGGCCAAACTACATGTGACATTCAGTTGCGTGCATAGCCTGATCCTAATTTTCTGCCTTTTCTTTTTTTAAAAATAAAAATAAAAGCCAAAGTGTAAGATCAGTGTGTGTGTGCGCGCGCGTGTGCGTGTGAGCACGTTCTTTTATATATGCATTGATTTTAAAGAATTATAGATCTATCTGTCTATCTATCTATATATATAAAAACTTGTACACCCGGCCGATCACCTTTTGCTCCTTTCCTGTTTTCCTCTAGATATCACCCCCTCCCCAAAAAACCACACTTCTCATTGCATATTGCTCTTCTTTAGTTAGCTGCTCAGTTTGCAATTAAAACAAAAACAAAAAACCAGGGTCAGACCCCCCTTTTTGAGTCCATGGCTCCCTTGACCATCTACATTCTTTCTGTGGCACCTCTGTGGGGCTCAGGAGCCAGGTTATGTCACCCTTTGCCTGAAGGGCTAGCATCCTCTCACCCTTTCCCAAACACCCTCCCTCAGCCTTCTCTCCTCTCTCCTTGGGAGTCTTCTGGGCAGCTGCTGCTGCTGCCCCTGGTCTCTGAGCTTCCCCCTCCCACTCCAAAGAGAGGTACCTCCTCACACTGCCCCACAGGGGCCTGGGAAGAGAATACCCCCAGCCTTAGATTGGCCAAAGGTTAAAGTGAGGCCAGCACCTTACCTTAGGAGTCAGCAGTGGCAGCAGTGGGTGCCAGTGGGTGTAAAGGTTTGCCTTCAGCACCAGACACTCAGCTCCCAGGCAGGCCTTACACACAGCAAGCACAAGAAAGGCCAGTGCATTGTCTGTCCATTCCCAACAGCAAGGGTTCCAGCACCTCTCAGGTGGGCTCCATTGCCATTCTAAGGGAACAAGGGGGTTTTTCCAGTGAGTTCTGGCACCTCTTTTCCTAGAGGAATATCTTTGGCTACTGTAATGGGTTTAGGGGTTGCTCGTGCGTAAGTTGCCGCCACTCCTGGCTAGGTTACCTGGTTAAACCCTTTCTGACTGAACAGCCTCCAGCATCGTGACTGTCTCAGTCGCTGGCAGAATCCGTCAGTGGGCGTTTCTTAAACTTCTTCCAGCACAAAAGTTCCTTGACGCCAAGTCTCCTCCTACTCTCCCTGTGCGGAAGTCTTCTGCGCAGGGAGGGTGTGGGCAGCGGAGTACCTGTACTCTCTCCGCTGGTCTCCGGCGAGGAGTCTTGGAGCCTCCTCTCCGATTCCCCCATCTGCCCCCCTTCTCCACTGGTGTTACGCTGATTTCCTTCCCCAGCGGATGGGCTGCCTCTCTCCCTACTGGGACCCTCTCCGCCATCCCTCTGGAGCCTTCCCTTCGCCTCTAGCTCCGATGGCAGTTCCCTGACAGCTACAGCCACTGCGCAAGGTGCTGTGGCTGGGATTGCAACCTGCTCTGTACATGTAGACACCTTGCAATATTTAGAACACATAATTCAAAGTCATACAGGGTTGGTGTGACCCCATTCTCTTCACCACACAATCTGTAATTGTATGAGGGAAGAGCACCCAAAGCTAGGGGTTGTTGTTGTTGTTGTTGCTGTTGTTGTTTAGTCGTTTAGTCATGTCCGACTCTTCGTGACCCCATGGACCGGAGCACTCCAGGCACTCCTGTCTTCCACTGCCTCCCACAGTTTGGTAAAACTCAGGTTGGTAGCTTTGAGAACACTGTCCAACCATCTCGTCCTCTGTCGTCCCCTTCTCCTTGTGCCCTCCATCTTTCCCAACATCAGGGTCTTTTCCAGGGAGTCTTCTCTTCTGATGAGGTGGCCAAAGTATTGGAGCCTCAGCTTCACAATCAGTCCTTCCAGTGAGCACTCAGGGCTGATTTCCTTCAGAATGGATAGGTTTGATCTTCTTGCAGCCCAACAGACCTGTATATCAGTCTCTTGGGACTCCTTCCCAAGACATGCCTCTTTCTACAAACCCCACTTATCCCTGGCTCTGCTCCACAACCTTGTTGACCATTTTTGCCTGGCTGGATTTTGTCCTTGAACCGTGACATTGCCTTTTGGTTTGCTTACCTGGGTGGAGAGACAGGGGGTGGTGTTTGTGTGTGCAGAAACCTCTGCATCTGCATGGCAGGAATTTGGACTACTAAATAAAGGAAAGAATCACCTCTATTGTTTTGCCTGCTTTTGCCCGTAGTCCTGCCCATCATTGGCATGTGGCCTTTGGAAGATTTCCCACAAGGGAATGCTCACACCCGGCTGAAAATGATGCCCCACCCTGGCTTGAGATAATTCAGAATCTCGCCTTTGTGGAAAATTCCCACTGGAATCAGTCAGCTATCTATTGTTTAGCAAAACTTTGATGATGCATGGGATATCTCAGAGCATGTGATAATACGACCAGAGGAGCATGATAGCTCCTGTTTACTCACACATCTCACGGGCAGACTTTCCAAAGAAGGAAGAAACAGGCATTGCCCAAAAAAGGACAAGATAAGGAAAGGTAAGTTTGGACAAAGGGCTGACACTAAAACCCTCCCTGATATTGTGAAGTGGCAGCTAGAAAGAAATGGATGGATGCGTTTTGAATTACCATACTGTCTCTCTCGGTTTAGTCTTAGCAGAAATTTGCTCTTTTCACAGCATTTATAACTATCCTTGTAATTGCTGATGCCATTAAACATTTCTAAGAACAGAAGGTGAGCTGCCTGAATCAGTGGCCCATCTGGTCCAGCATCCCATTCTCACAGTAGCCAACCAGATGCCGGG